TAGATTTAACAATCGGGAGTGCTGGTGTAATCAGTTACGTGAAACAATGGAGGGTCTCAACGGAACCCTCCCTATCAGATCACAGAATCATCGAGTTCAAATTAGGAGGAATCACACCCCAAACAGAAACTCAGAAGGAATCCAAGAAAAACAGACTGGGACATGTATAACACCAATCTCGTAGACAACCTAAACCGTATAGATGCAAGTAGGGCCAGAAACCATCTGCATCTAGAATGGTACGCAAGGGAAGTCAGCGGTGCAATATTGGATGCATATGAATCTAGTTGCCCCGCAAGTAAAGGCATACAAAAAGTAACAACAAGCCCTGGTGGAACAAGAAGTTGGCCAAACTTAGATCGGAGGTCCGACGACTCTTTAATAGAACTAAATCCAGTGGCGAATGGCAGCTCTACAGCGAGAAATTAACTGAGTATAAGAAGGAGATAAGAAGGGCAAAGCGGTGTGACTTTAGATCCTTTTGCGAAAACATCACTTCTACTCCTGATGCAGCTAGATTACACAAAGCTATGGCCAAGAGTGGATCTATCCCCAACATGGCACTTGAGAAATCTGACGGAAGCTACACGGAGGGAGAGGAAGAGAGAGCAAATCTCCTACTTTATACACACTTTCCAGGTAGCATACCTATTGATACTTATGTAGCTCCCACTGAACCCCACAATCCTTGCAGGGAAGATTGGGAAGTGGCAAGCTAGTAATAACAGAACAAAAGCTGAAATGGGCGATCGACACCTTTCAGCCCTATAAAGCAGCAGGAGTGGATGGGATCTTTCCTGCCCTTCTAAAGGAGGGTCAGCAAATAGCTACTCACCATCTACTAAGCATTACAAGAAGCAGTCTAGCGATGGGATATATACCAACCACATGGAGAAGAGCAAAAGTAATCTTCATACCCAAAATAGGCAAAACTGACTGGACAAATCCCAAGTCATTTAGGCCTATTTGTCTCACATCGTTCATACTAAAAACGCTGGAGAAAGTAGTTGACAACCATATTGGAGAAAATCATCTAAAGGTTAAACCACTGCATGATAGTCAGCATGCATATAGAACGGGCAGATCCACAGAAACTGCTCTGTACCAATTAACGGAGCTAATACAGACAAGTCTGGATAGCAAAGAAACAGCAATTTGTGCCTTCTTGGATATTGCGGGGGCGTTTGACAATATACCACATAAGGTGGTCAGGCGATCTCTAGAAACAAGAGGGGTGAACAGAACTATTATTCGCTGGTTTTGGGAAATGCTGTCAACACGAACAGCAGAGGCTCAGATGGGCACCAAAACTGTAGCTGTTAAAACAACGCAAGGAACTCCACAAGGTGGAGTAACCTCCCCTTTGCTGTGGAGCTTGGTGGTGGATGAACTACTAGATGAATTAACTCTAGCGGGAATACACTGCATTGGGTATGCAGATGACATAGTCATGATCGCTCGGGGGAAACATGAAGGCACCTTGTGTGATATTATCCAAAGAGGACTCCGTATCACTGAGAGATGGTGTAGGACTGTCGGGCTGAGTATCAACTCAGACAAAACCGCGATAGTGCCATTCACCAGAAGGCGAAGTCTGAAAAACTTGAAAAGAATCCAACTAGATGGAAAGGAAATACTGCCAACACAGGAAGTTAAATACCTGGGAATAACCCTGGACAGTAAACTCCTGTGGAACAGGCATATTAAGAACACTACCAGCAAAGCCATAAAGGCTCTCATGATATGCAGAAGACTGGCCGGAAATAGATGGGGCTGCTCCCCTAACATTTTGCGCTGGATGTATACCATGATAGTAAGACCCATGATTACTTATGGAGCAGTTGCCTGGTACACAAAACTAGAGCAACGGACGGCAAAGCTAAACCTATGCAAAGTCCAGAGACTAGCATGTGTTTGCATCACAGGAGCCATGAGAACCTGTCCAACAGCAGCAATGGAGGTCATTCTAGATCTAACACCACTGCACATTGTCATTGGTAGATATGCCAATGCGACAATGATTAGAATGGTCACTAACGGAATTAGTACTGGGAGAATTGTCAGATCAGGGGCTTGGAACACCCTCAAAAAAGGAAATACCACTCCTGCAACTCCCAGTGGACGATATGCCAGAACGTACAACTTTGACAAACATGTCAATGTAGTATTGAGCAATAAGAAGGATTGGAAGAGCGAAACGCTTGCCCAGCAGTTAAAAGACCATACCATAACTTGGTATACTGATGCTTCCAAAACCAATACGGGAACAGGGATCGGAGTGTTTGCGCCGAGAGCTAATTACTCCGAACCAATGGGCACTTACCCTAGTATCCTACAGGCAGAAATCTACGCTATCGAGAGATGCGTACAACTTATCTTAGATAGGAACTATCGGAAACAAGAAATAGCCATCTTATCTGATAGTCAAGCAGCGTTAAAGGCGATCAACTCAGTATCAATCGATTTGAAATTGGTCAAAGAATGCATAGAGAAGCTGAATAAATTAGGCAAAGAAAACAAAGTCCTCCTACACTGGGTGCCTGCTCACCAAGGGATAGAAGGCAATGAAAAAGCAAATAATCTAGCTAGGAAAGGAGCGAACACTCCACTAACTGGACCAGAACCGTTCTGCTTTCCAAGTGGTAACCAACTCAAGGCGGAACTCAAGAACTTGGAAGATTCCATCCGCAACCTGGAATGGAAATCTTGCAATGGTCTAAGACACTCGAAGAAGTTTCTGAGGGCTTATGATCAAGAAAAATCACAGATCTTCCTGGGTCTGAGTAAGAACAATCTTCGGATTGTCACGGGGTTTTAACAGGACACTGTCACCTCAATGAACACCTCAGTAGATTGAAACTAAGAAAAACGGCGAATGCAGATTCTGTGGGAAGATGGTGAAACACCAGTACACCTCATCACTGAGTGCGCCGAGACGACAACCATTCGTGCCATGAATTTTGGTACGACTGATATTGGACATGGAGAACTACCCTCTATAAAACCGTCCCAGATACTGGCTTTTGTCAAAGCCCTGGGACTGTATGATGAGTTATGATTCAAGAAAGGGGGACACAATGGATCTGTAAGGTCGAAGTGATTAACCCTCCTCCCACTCATTCTAAATTCTAAAAAAAATTCTAAACTGGACAACACAATAACACATATTAACTATTGTTTTTAATTGTTTTTGGACATTACACTTTACTACGAGCACGTACGTATTTCCTTGCAGATCGCTCTGTATAAAACACATTTATCGGTTCAATACCCGATGTCTACTGTGTATTGAACCGATAAATGTGTTTTATACAGAGCGATCTGCAAGGAAATACGTACGTGCTCGTAGTAAAGTGTAATGTCCAAAAACAATTAAAAACAATAGTTAATATGTGTTATTGTGTTGTCCAGTTTAACAAATTTTAACTCTGTAAGAATCTACGTTCAAGAGGCTTGAAAAAGACATATACTGTCGAAACGTCGTCACAAAATAAAAAAATAATGAACAAAATCTAGAAACATCTTTGCAACCCCAACGACCTAAAGCCAAGAGTGAAAACAAAAAAATATATAGTATACAGGTCAAAGAAACGAAACAAAAAAAATATATATATATATATATATATAGGAAGAAAAAAGATACAAGAATAGCTATAATAGCTTGATATATTCTTATTTATTAAATGACCTTCCTATATTATATGGGCAACCAATAGTCTTGGGTCAGTATCTACGTGTCTAGGGGTTAATCGCTATGGTGATCTTCTCAGAGTATTTAGTTTAGTTAGAGTAGTGTTGCCAGAATTGAAGAATTTCCTTCAATATGAAGGATTTTACAGTTAAATTTCGTGGATCAAAAGGCTGAAGGATTTTCATCCAGAAAGAACTCAGTATGAAGGTTTTTGTCAGTTTTGCACAATAAAAATTGTTAAAATATGTAGTAGGATATTTATTGTTTTTCTACATCTATTTTTTCACTTTAATGGTGTTTAATTAAGGATGCAACAGTTTAAAGCAATGTTGCTGTCAAAAAGTCAGCAATTCGAAAAATTTTAAAATTTAACAAAAAAATTAATAGATACATTTTTTTTCTAACATGTCTTACTACACACATACCACAACAAAAAAAAGTTCTTGATGTTGAAAAGAAATAAATAGGTAAACGGAAAACATATCTAAAAACATAAACATGTCAGCTGATCATGGCGTCTCTTGCACAATTAATTATTCTCGGTTCAAGCAGTCATTGTAAGCAATGAATTTTTTTGAATATACTACTTTATAATACTGCTCTCAATAAAAAGTTTATTTAAATACATCAGTGTCCAAAAATTACCAGAAATAAGTTTTTAAAAATTTTCTCCTAATTATAAAATAGGCGAAATACACAAAATTTGGTGATTTTTCACAAGATCTGAAATTTTTTGCGAAGTCGAAGGAATATGAAGGTATTTTAAGTCTTCGTTGAAGAAATTCGCTCGAAAATTTCTGGCAACACAGAGTTAGAGAGAAACTGAGGTGTCTATAACACAACCACGCTATATTTTATGTGTTTGGGAGAATACTTGCTCTTCTTTGTTCAGTACATCTTACTGTACTGAGCATATTGACTGAACTCTTGGTATACAAGAAAATCGACACTCAAAGCCAGATCTTTCCGTGGCTCTGTATACAATTTTTTAATTTTTATACCTAAACTAAAATAGTTTCAAAAAAGCAAATACCTTAATATCCACAGTCTGAAATTATGTGAAAACACTTCCCAAACCAATATGACTAAAAGCTAGGGTGCACATAAACTTACAGCTAAATTGCAACAACACTTATTAAAACATACAAATACATTTTTATATACATAAAAATAATAATGCCAAGCGACCTTGCATAATCAAACTACTAATATATCTAGAAGCGTTTTATACATGAACCAAATAGAATGAATACAGAATGCCAGGTTACAGATAGATATAGGATACAGGCATGATTACATATCGACATACCTTGACTAGCCAGATTCTGCAAGGCATTAATAGGATCTGGCATGCCAGGACCCTGTTGCTGTTGGGCACCTGGCACTCCATTCATTGGGCCAGGTTGTCCCTTCTTGCTGTCTAAAATGTGGTACTTATGTTTTACATGGTAACAAATGTTTTGAACAATGGCAAAATTTAACTAGAAATCTTTAATGGGTAGGGGTGTATTAAGAGCGCTCAGCGGGTTATAACAATACACTAGAATGTCAATAATAAACCGTAAACTACTTACTCATTTCCCTAACATGAAGAATGAGTCTTGCGACAAAACTGAGATATTCCTCCTTGTTCTTTGCTTTCTGAAAAACGTGATTTTCCATTTCTATGCTGTTTCTGGATGTATTCATGCCTGATTGACGAATAGCTTCCTCTCTATAAAAATATACGTTACATAAAATAAGTAAAATCCAAGTAACTTTTTATATTAAACAATCGTCCAAACTCCATAAAAATTTAGCCGCTCAGGTCCACATTATCCATTATCCACACATCCATCTAATTATTACATTTTATTATAATTATTAGCAATAGTAATAATATCAACATAACGAAGTATAATAAACAACAATAAGATAATTTATAACTCACATTTTTGCTACAACATTCTGCCTAAAGGCGTGGGTTCTCCAAGAGTCGTCAGCCATAATTATATGTTCGCCTTATTTCTATAAACCAGTAAGCTATATAAAATTAGTAATATTAATATTCTTAAATATTAAAACTATTGAAAGAGAAAAATGGAAAATAGAGAAAAACAAAAACATTCGCATGACAAGCTCCGCTTCTACAAAAGTGACAAGTGACAATCACAGAACAGGTGACCAGTGTTCCCAACTCTCTCAAATATATCTCCCTAAAAATCTAAAACGCTCGCATCAAAAATCCCCAAAATATCCCTAAAAACCTAAAAAAATATCCCGAAAAAACCCTAAAGATATAAATAATAATAAATAAACAATTTGTTGTGTTTTAAGTGCTAGACCTTGAAACGTCTGATCACAGCCATTGCAACCATTAGCCAACTGTTCGAAACTTTCCATTAAAGCAATATTGTGGCGGATCGATATCGACAATCCCATCCATACTAGGGCTGTGCATAGAATCCCGAGCGAAGTCTATCGGTGCCAAGAAGAAAAGAAGAAGAAGAGCGGCATCGGCTGACAAATAATGGTGGGTTCATACAGCAAAATAAAATAAAATAAGAATAAAATAAAATAAGAAATAAGGAATTCTTATTTGTGTGCGCAATGCCCTCTATAAAAGATCAGCCCACGGGCGGACTTTTGTTTACTTCATCAGCTGTACATACTTAGATATTGGGTTAGATTCTGTATTCATATTTTGTCGGTAGATTTTTGGTATTATTTGTTATTGTAGTGCAAAAAACTAATTATTTTGGTGTTTAAGTGACATAAAGTACTACCAGGTATATGGCTACTATGATGGTCAATCTGTTTCTCATAAAAAAACATGAAATATTACGTTTTGTTAAGTGCTTTAACCTAAAAGTGCCCATAAATTTTTTATTTATCGTGATTTTTGTGTGTGTTTTTTAAGACTCAACAATTCATCAATAAAGCTTAAGTGGAGTGTGTTTTTGGTGCTATGCCTCATCTTTGTTGGTGGAAAGGATAGTTATACTAGGCAGCTTAAAGTATCCGGAAGAGCAAGAAAAGTGGGTACGAGTTATAAATCAAGACAATTCTATTGAAAATATCTTTAATAAATTTAAAATAATATTCTCCCAGGATGGTATTAAAGAAAACTGGACAATTATGTTTATTTTATTCATATTGTGGAATCTCCACTCCAAGTGTTGTTGGTTCAGCTTCGATAGATTCAAACACATAAGTAGGTATTATGATCTAGGGAAAAATAAAGAATATGTGTATTAAAGATCATGAAAAAGATTATTATTTTGAGTTCAAATATAAAGAAGATTTTTGTAAAGACAAGAATGATAAAGTTTAAAAGAAGAATGTGTTTTGTTTGATAATATAATGTACCTATGTAAAGCATAACATATATTTGTTCAGTAATTTTTACTGAATAGTGTCGATTATTTATAATACCAAATTAATATCAAATATTTAAGTGATGGCTGAATACAATATGAATAAAATAACAATAAAATTGGTATATTTGCAATACAAAATTAAGTTTTAAGAATAAAGGTGTTACTAAAAATACTAAGAAATTCATATTTCTTTGTTTTAATTGGTCGAATTTTATTTACATTTTATTTAAGAATTATACCGTATCATCGAAAAAATCGGCGTCTAGTTGGCTTGGAAATGAACATCGATGACATTCCTAAATAATTGTACACATAAAAAATTAAATAGAATTTTACAATCTTGGAAAATTTGATATTCTTGAACCTTGTTTCTAAATATTCTAATTTTTTGATTTTCTTGGGATTTAGGTTCGGGAAAACGCTGATTAAGTTTTCATTTGGTTTTTCATTATTTTTATTTGGTTTTAAAAAAAAAAACGTTTCAGCTAACATTATAGCCTTCATCAGTGTTGTGTCATATGAAAAAATAGTGTCGAATATAATCCAAAAAATTACATATGTCTTCATTATCCTTCTTACCTTAATTTTGGATATCAAGATAAATGTGAAATTATAAAATTAATTATAGAATTCGTATTATTATTGATTAACACTCAAAAAAAAAATTCAACTGCAAATAATTCGAAAATAAACTGCAATTTGGCAACATCGACGATGTGCGCTTGCGTCGTATCGATGATCAAATGCAGCAAATATGGGCTTCAAGGTCAGCCACCGGATCCACACCTTTACCATTTGTAAATATAATTTTTCGAACATTGATACTTGCAAAATATACATATAAATTTTGTGAATGCAAATAATAATACATCACTATTAGTAGATATTGAATGTTTTTTGTTAAATTAGATCGATTTTCAAACCCCAAAATTTAAAATATATTTACATTTTACCCAATATCTTATGTAATACATTATTTGTATATTGTAAAACATCTGCTGCATTTGTATGGTTCATAGTTTATTTGCCAAAGTATTTATTACTATAAATAGGTATATATGTTGTAGTTATTAACTGTATATTATGTATATTTAATGTGAACTATATAATTTTTAAAATACAAACCAAAAATCTGAGGAATAATTATGTTTTCCATGTATTCTACAACATATTTATTAATCCGTAGTATCTAACTAGCGTGACGTCATAAATCTCGCCCCAAGGCTGTTCTATTAGAGACGGCATTGGTGTGCGTTCATACAGTCAAATAAAATAAAATAAGAAATATATATTTGCTCATGCGCAGTACGATGAGGCTGGATAAAAGTTAACTTTTACGATTGTTTATAGTAATTTTACTATTTATAGTATATTTATTTATTCGTTGCCTACTATATTATACATTTTACTTATGTGAAATTATAAAATAAATTAAATCTAAACTGAAAATATTTGTAGGTTAGAATTAAGCGTGCGCAAAGCCGTTTTCACATAAAATAAAACAAGAAGTTAAAAGATAAAGACTTCTTATTTTATTTCTTATTTTATTTGGCTGTATGAACGCATGTACGGTATCCCATATAACCAACTTTCTTATTTTATTTTATTTTATTCTTATTTTATTTTATTTGGCTGTATGAACCCACCATAAAGACATAACGTGTTTTTCAATAATTATTTTATTGTAGAATAATTATTTAGTTGTGTAATTAAAGAGCAGATTGAACACGTCCCTTTATTTTATGGACTTTTGAGTTGTGAAAAATCTAAACAGTAAACCCAGCTGATTTCAGATTATCATATTCACACCCAGAACAACCATATTGGTGACCCCGACGTGATCCAAGAAGCTTGAAATTACAATCAATACCAACCAACCAAACATGCAAACAAACAATCCAGAAGCTAGCACTACTCAAACAAACAATTCCAATCAATCAACAAACAACCAACCAATAAATGAACTGTGCAGAGTCAGTTTCAAACCCCCCGAATTCTGGAAAGCTGAGCCAGAACTATGGTTTTACAGAATTGAATGTCAGTTCCGAACTGCTGGGATTTCAACTGACGATTGCAAGTTCGACTATACAGTTGCCAGCCTAAACTGCGAAACACTTACGGAAGTAGCCGACCTTATACGCAGTCCACCGGCAACAGACAAGTATTCAGCACTCAAAAATCGTTTAATTAGCAGATTTGCAGATAACGATACAGTCAGAATCCAAAAACTGCTTGCAGGAGTTGCATTGGGAGATCAGAAACCTTCACAACTCCTACACAAAATGCAGAGCCTAAATAACAATAAATTACAAGACTCTGTCATTAAAACTCTTTGGTTAGAGCAGTTACCATCTACAATGAAGGCCATATTAATGGTAAGTGGCGAAGATCTAACAAAATTAGCTGAAATAGCTGACAAAATAAATGAAACATTAGACAGACCAGCAAACCTCTATGGTATGTCTAGTTTGGAAGATCAAATTAACCAATTGAAGCAACAAGTCAATAAATTAACAACAGAACTCAAGAACAAGCCACAGAAGCAAGGATCTTCACAGTCCACTAATGAAAATTGTTGGTACCACGAAAACTTTGGGAAGAAAGCAAAGAAGTGTGAAAAACCATGTAAATTTATGGGAAACGAAGCAGGGAGTCGATAGATGCGGCAATTCGATCTCCTACAACACCAAGCCGCCTTTTTATATCAGACAAGAAATTTAGATTACAGTTTCTAATTGATACTGGCGCAGATGTCAGTGTCCTTCCGTTATCAAGGTTCCCAGGCAATTCTGATCCAAATTTCAGTCTTTTATCAGCCAATGGATCACTAATTAAAACTTTTGGCAAGAAGGAATTAACTATCGATCTCAATTTAAACAGAAAATTTACGTGGACGTTCGTTATAGCACAAGTTACCCATGCTATCATTGGAGCTGATTTTTTGGCCCATTTTGGTATTCAAGTTGATCTAAAACACAGAAAACTTATTGATTCTTATACTACAACAACACAATACTGCCAAGTCAGAGACACAGAAGTTTTGGGTGTAAAGGCTATCCATTTAGCAGATATCATTACAGAATTGTTAACAAAATATTCAAATATACTTGGACCCATTTGTCAAACACAAACTGAAATAAATACCTTTCATTTTATTGAAACAAAAGGCCCACCTGTCTATTCAAAACCCAGACGTTTATCACCAGATAAATTATCTATTGCTAAAGAAGAATTCCAAAAGCTCATTGAACAGGGTATTTTACGACCATCGTCATCTAACTGGGCAAGTCCATTACATTTGACTAAGAAGAAAAATGGTACTTGGAGAGTTTGTGGCGATTATCGTCGACTCAACGCAGTCACGAAACCTGATCGCTACCCTATTCCACACATACAAGACATAACATATGATTTACACAACAAAAGCATATTCTCAACCATTGATTTAACTCAAGCATTTCACCAAATTCCAGTTAACACGGATGATATTCCCAAGACAGCAATTATCACTCCTTTTGGTCTATTTGAGTATGTAAAAATGCCATTTGGTTTACGGAATGCAGCACAAACCCTGCAGAGATTCATGGACCACATTTTTCGAGACCTTTCATACGTCTATGTTTACATCGACGATATTCTTATCGCATCCAGAACTCGTGAAGAACATCAACAACACTTAGACACTGTTTTCAACAGACTTTCAAAATATTGTCTCACAATCAATTTAGAAAAATGTAAATTTGGCGAAAAAGAAGTAACATTTCTAGGAACCATAATCACATCTAAAGGAATAAGACCATTACCTGAAAAAGTAGAAGCCATTAGAAATTTTCCGAATCCAACAACAATCCAGGAACTTCGACAATTTTTGGGCATGATCAATTTCTATAGAAGATGGTTACCTAATGCTGCTCAAGAAATGTTACCCCTGACTAATTTGTTACAAAATGTAAAATCAAAATCAGCTAAAATAGATTGGAATCAAGAACTCGAAGACGCTTTTAAGAAAATAAAACAATTGTTAGCAGATTCAACAGAACTAATCTATCCTGACCCAAATGACAAATTAGCTCTAGCAGTAGATGCTTCCAGCAAAGCTATTGGAGGAGTTATACATCAAGCTACTCAACATGGAATAGTACGACCTATTTCATTCTTTTCCAGAAAACTGTCCACCACTGAACAAAACTACAGCACATATGATAGAGAGTTATTGGCAATGTATAGTGGTGTGCAGCAGTTTCGTCATTTCTTGGAAGGAAGGGAATTTACAATTTACACCGACCAGAAACCCTTAATGTATGCCTTTAAACAAAAGCATGAAAAAGCTTCTCCACGCCAAATCAGACAATTAACATTTATTAGTCAATTTACCACTGACATCCAACATATAAAAGGAATAGAAAACATAGTAGCAGATGTTTTATCCAGACCAACCATTTGTACCATAGAGCAGATCAATTACAATGACATTGCAAGCAAACAAAAAGAAGACCAGAATTTACTAAATATTATAAACAAAACAGTCAAATCCAGTTTGCAACTTCAACTTATCAAACTTCCAGACAGCGATGAACCATTATACTGTGATTTAACTGACCAAAGAATCAGACCTTATATTCCACAGGACTACACAAAAAGAATTTTCAGAAAGTTTCACGATATTTCACATCCAGGGCAACGTGCAAGTCAAAAATTAATATCAAGCAGATTTGTTTGGACAAATATGAGAAAGGATATTAATATCTGGGTAAAAGAATGTATTAAGTGCCAAAGATCCAAAGTAAACAAACATACCCATTCACCATTACTTAAAATTGAGGTACCTAAGCAAAGATTTTCTCATATACACATGGACATTGTAGGACCATTACCACCTTCCAATGATTATAAATACTTATTAACAATAATTGATAGATTTACTAGATGGCCAGAAGCGATACCTATCAAAGAAATAACAAGTGAAAATGTTGCAAAAGAATTGATAGAAAAGTGGATTGCAAGATTTGGAATACCTCAGAAAATAACTACAGATAGAGGTAGGCAATTCGAATCGTACTTATTCAAACATCTCACTAATTTACTGGGCATTACTCATATCAAAACCACTGCTTATCACCCTCAAGGCAATGGAATGATTGAACGTTTTCATAAGACACTTAAAAATGCCTTAATAGCAACAAATAACACTAAATGGACTGAGAGTTTACCACTAATCCTACTTAGTATACGAAACACTTTAAAAGAAGACATACATAGTACAGCAGCCGAAATGGTTTATGGCACAACACTAATGCTACCAGGTGAAATTTTCAGCAGTTCCCAACAACAAATCGATGAAGTGGATTTCATTAAGAAACTAAGAACAACAATGAGGGACTTGAAACCAGTCAACGCAAGCAACCATGCCAATCACAGACCATTCGTGCATTCGGATCTTTTGCAAACGCCTTGCGTTTTTGTAAGACAGGACCAAGTAAGACCACCTTTATCTCCACCATATGCTGGTCCATTCAAGGTATTGTTCAGGAACGAAAAATTTTTCAAGATAGACGTCAATGGGCGTACAGAAAGTATATCAGTAGATAGATTGAAGCCAGCATATGTTTCCAATAGCAGAGAAATACAGGGAGAACATTCTTATGCATTACCATACCTAGAAGAAATATCAAGCATAGAAACATCAAGAAAAAGACGCCCTTCACCATATCAAGAAAATTACTCTCAAGACCGCCACTTCCAGATGTATCGTAAATCCACCGTTGGCGAACTCACTACGGGGGGGCTATGTGGCGGATCGATATCGACAATCCCATCCATACTAGGGCTGTGCATAGAATCCCGAGCGAAGTCTATCGGTGCCAAGAAGAAAAGAAGAAGAGCGGCATCGGCTGACAAATAAGACATAACGTGTTTTTCAATAATTATTTTATTGTAGAATAATTATTTAGTTGTGTAATTAAAGAGCAGATTGAACACGTCCCTTTATTTTATGGACTTTTGAGTTGTGAAAAATCTAAACAGTAAACCCAGCTGATTTCAGATTATCATATTCACACCCAGAACAACCATAATATCAAACCTTCTTAAATCCAAACATCTAAAATCCCCACAACTGTTATCCAAGATTCGGTGATTAAAATAAATAAATTATTTTGTTTTATTTATACTTTCCTATTAATTTTGAAAAATAGCAGTAGCGGTCTTATCTCCTCTGGTCGGTAAAATTCCATTGAAATTTTATCCCTTAAAATATCCCCAAAAAATTTTACTCCCTAAAGAAATCCCCATATAGATTTTTTCTCCCCAAATTTAGGGATAAAATCCCGAAGTTGGTAACACTGCAGGTGACAATCAGTCTCAGTCAGGGTTGCCAACCGTAGAACCATAGATAAAAGACTGATACTATTAAATAGATAGGCAACTTATAATACATTTCAATTTTATTATACAAGGGCGCCTCTGGTAGACGGAGGAAAAAATACTAATAGAAGAGAGGGGTACGGGGAAGGGGGGTTGTTTTAGTTAATTTAAAATAATTTAAAATAAATTTAGACTCCATAAAGACGAGTGACAACGCGTCTTAAAAATCCAAAATTAGTTAGCATCATCTATAATCAAGGTCTTGTGTATGTGTTTTGTGAATCAAGGGTTAGCATCTATGGTTAGCATTTTGTTAGCATAAAGGTTAGCATCAATTAGCATGGTGATGGTAGCATTGAAAGCGCTAAATTCCTAATTAAAAAGTCCCTAGAAATGAATTTGAATTCTGATTTTGAATTTTTTATTTATAGTGTAAAAGCTTTGGTAAAAGTAAAATCGATGCTATTTTCTATAGTTTCTTTAATTCATTCTGTAATTTTATTAAATTAATGTTATATTTGGCCAATTCTGAAGGAGTTAAAACTCTTCGGAGCTTCGGAGCGGGCTTACTTAATATTTTTGTTATCTAAAAAATATCGTAATCTTATTTTTATAATCAATATTATTTACCCGTCTTTTACCTGTTTATCAAGCCAATCTTCACTAACCACAACTAGAAAATAAATCGGCAATTATTAATTCTCTTTTTGTCTATTTTATGAGATAACTTACTCATTTGACGAATATCAAGTATTATTCTAGCCACATAGCCCAAATACTGTAGTTTATTAGACGATTTTTCAAATATTCTTTTTTCAGCTTTTCTACCATACCTTGATACTTTTAATGTGCAGGATTCTATGGCTTCATTTCTTAAAATAAGAGAAAAACAAAAAGTTAAAACAATGAATATACAAAATTAACTAAAATAATATCATACATTCTATCTTCAACACTTTTTCGAAAAACTTCGTTTTGCCACGAGTCTGACATTTTATGTAAAAACTGTAAAAAGTGATTAAAATAGTTATCTCTGGATTTAAATAAATGATTTATGTTAACTGCATAGTTCAGAGCATGTTCAGAGTGTTGGATGTAGTTATATAAAACACTAATACTTAATTACCAAATCTCTCTTGTTAAATTCTTTCTTTAAACCAGAGAAAAGGTACGTACAATTAATTTAAATTATTTTTAATACTTTTTAGTTCCTTTATGATACCTACCTTGATACGGGTATATTTTTTAAATTGTGTCTTTGGTCTATGTAAGTAGTCATGGCCTTAGCTGTCACTGTCAAAAAAACGAACAATTTTTCGAGGTCAAACAAATTTTAAGGTTATATACGTGGAAGTTGTATTGTTTTATTGTTTAGAACAGTAATTAGTAACATAATGGCACCTTATAAAAGAAATATAGATGATGTTCTTGCTCGTATTAATTTTCCTCTTTTTACCGTCCAAATGCTTACAAACAGACATGTATTAGTTGGTGGGGGCGGAGGCTCAGCAAAAACTGGTGTTGCGAATGGATTTGTATGTGGTTATTTGAATTAAAATATCGATAAAATATGAATAAAGCTATATTTTTAGGAAATTTTTGAACTGTCGCATGACGGAAACAAATTCCATGTCGAGGAAGTAACTAGACATGAAACAGGTCCTAATGTTGTTATGAATTGTGCAGTGGCTTTAAAAAATAATCATACTTATTTAGTTGCTGGTCAAGAGAGTCATTGTCAATTATACAATGTAAACTCTGAATTGGGTAACTACATTAATTTAGATATTAACAAGTATTAGACACATTTTTATATTATTATTTAATAATTTTAGTAGCTCAAGAAAACGGTGATATTGAAAACCTTGGAACTGACCACCATACTAATGGTAAACTGAGGCACAGAAAATCAGCGCCTACCAGTAAAAATAATGACATTAATAAGAATTTAAGGAAAAGGTTAAAATTTATTTTAAGTCCGTCAGATAGTGTACAGACTGATTTTAATGAGCCTGAACCTTTATGTAGAGTGGTAAGGGTACACCCAGAAGGGAATCTAATGGCTACAGGTAACAAGTTTTTTTTTATCACCTTAAGTTTATTAATTCTGCATAATCTTTTAAGGTGGAACAGATGGCACTATACAGATGTGGAGATTTCCAAGTCTTAAGCCTCTAACCAAATTAAAAGGTCACACAAAAGAGATAGATGATATAGATTTTAGTTTATTCGACAATTATATTATAACAGTGGCAAAAGATGGTCAAGCAATTTTGTGGGACTGTGTTAGAGGAAAAGAAATTAAAAAACTAACATGGAATCAACCGCAGGGTTCGAAATATCTATATAAAAGATGCAGATTTGGTATCATAGAAGGTGAAAAGAAGTGTGCACTTTATATGCTTTCCAATCCAACCGGTGTTGCCAAAAAGCAAAAATCTTTTTTGCAACAGTGGCAGCCCGAAGAAGGTAAAATAGTATTTATTTTTAATTAACTTATAACAAAGAAAGTAATTTTATGATAGAGACAATTAAAAGAGTTGCAATATTTGATGAAAGTATTTCGGCCCTAGCAGTAAGAGATGATGGAAGATTTGTAGCTGTGGGAACTATGTTCAGTGGATCAGTTTCGATCCATACATCATTTAATTTACAGGTAACTTAAGATGAAATATTATGTAAAAGGATTTTTAGCTTAATATTTGGTTTGTAGATTGTTTTAAAGGTACCTGGAGCACATGCCATGTTTGTAACAGGTCTAGAGTTTTTACCGGTCTTGAATCAGGAAAACCAAACTGTTTGTAGTGTAGCTGAAGCTGCAGTATTATCAATTTCTGTTGATAATCAAGTTTGCATACACACATTGCCTTATAGAAGTGAGTACTACATATAGTGGGTATCTAATTTATTCTGTTAATGTGTTTATATATTTCAGAAACTATACCATTGTGGCTGGCGATAGTAATATTAATGATTACTTTATTTTTAACTTTTTTGTTTTGTTCATACATAGGTCTGTAGAAGATATGGATATGCTATATTTATATAAATACATTTTTTTTGTACAATGTAGTTTAAATTTATGTATAATTAAATTAGTAAAAATCATGTGTCTAATCTTGACTACACCTTTATATCAAAGTTTTGATCCAAACAGGAATATTAATAATGCACTTATTTATATGCTCAAACAAAAAAACTCGATTTGACGTTTCTGTTATGATCAGCTGAGATATGTAAATAATGTTTTTAGCGCGAGATCAGAGAGCGATGTATAGCATATGTACAGAGAACTAATATAGTTCCATCATATTTTTTTAGAGTGGCTACATTGTTTTCTACCGTTAATTTTCTAGGAAATTTTCTTGACAGATAACATCTGACAAATACTTCTCTAAAAATAAACATTACAAATTACAAGAAAAGTTAATCAGAAAATTGCTTTGTGAAAGTAATATATTTTAAGAAATACGTTAGGTCTAAAATACAAATCCAGAAATATGTTTTCAAAAAAGAAACCGGATAGACCAAATAGAACTAATCCTGGAAATTTAGCTCAGGTATAGACAATAATTTAACAATTTGTTTTTGGCAATAATTTATTTGTTTTTCTGTATATTTTATTAACATGAAACAGTATCTATGTATATACGGTATTTGTATTATAATTTTTACCATAATTTTCTTTATTTTTTGTTCTCATTATAGTTTGGACTATTTGATATACCACAAAATTTTGATCCAGCAAATCCAATGGGTGGTTCAGTAGATTCCGATGGTGGAGATAGTGACTTAGAGGCAGAATTAGCTGCTTTAGCTGGAGGAGGAGGTGCAAAGCCCAGGAAAAAGCCCAAGCAGGTATGTTTCAAAGTTTGATTTATTTTTTACTAAATTAAATGGCATTATATTATATAATTTTCAAGGGAATCAATCAACTTATGTCCAAACAAGAGTTTGATGCTATGGTATCTGTCAGTTTAAAAGATGAAGATGATGCTGAAGAAGATGTTGATGAAAATGACCCAGATTTGCTTAGTGAATTAAATGAAATAACTGGCTAGTATTTTTATTGGTACTAAATAATTAATTTTCTGACACTGGTACAATTATAGGTGCTTCTGATGAGGAAGGTGAGTTAACACCACCAAAAGAAATATCTCCTCAGAAAGTGCCATCTGGTAATGTGTCAGAAATTTTAACAAACCGTTTAAAGAACTATCAAATATTGGAAAGGGAAGCTAAGGCAGCTGGAGAATCTAGTAAAGCTAGGCGATATGGAAGGGCTATTAAAACATTAAATGATTTAATTAAAAAAGCTAATGCAGGAGTGTAAGTTATTAATTTTATTATATGTTTGTATGGGTTCCTGTTGTATTCCATATTTTAGTGATATTAACATTAATGATGAATCAGTTCCTCCTGAAATTATTATAAAACCAAAACAACCAAACGATGGTACAACACCTGAAAGTGAGGATAACAAAACATCTGAAAATACAGATAATTCTCAAGGAATCTTATCTCCAACCAGACCTGCACCGACAATTCCAATTAAAACTGACCCTTCTTTACCTGACGTTGTTCAGAACAGTGTGGCTGAAGTAAAAAGTGGCATAGATGAAGAACTACTTAATATGTTAATAGGTATATTAATATTATCTACTTACATATTGATTAAATATAAAAATATGTTAATAATACTTGGTTCTGCTATTACTGTAATACATGTTTTCAAAATTGTGCAGTTGAATAATTATGTTGCTTAATATTTTAGAAAGACAGAAATCTTATAAAATTGCGGCTTTACAAGCCAAAAAATCGGGCAATAATGAGCAAGCCCTGAAATATGTTAAAATAGCCAAACAATTTGATTTGGTAATAGAAGCCGTAAAAAATGGACAGTCGGTTGACTTGTCTGATATGCCGGGACCCCCTGGACAGGTATGGAAATTATTTTATGTCAAATATCATTTCTAAATCAAATGGTTTTTTCTATTAATTACTGAATGTATAAGGTGTCCCATTTTTGTCTATTTTACAGGGTTACTCTTTTATGAGTAGAGGTACAAAAATGCAGTATTCACATTTACTGCTACTTTTTTATGAAACTAAAGATGCTACAAACAGATTTGTCCTGACTCTTTTAGTTCCTGAAATACAGCGCAAATTTGAATTTTAAAAGACAGAATTTTGAGTCATATTTCAAAAATTATGTCAGCAAAAAACTACTTATACCGCTGGATTCTACGTGAAAAACTCTACGAGACTTAGCTGTCACCTTTTCAATAAATAAAAAATTAAAAAATGCATCATTTTAAAATTCATCCTGTATTTCAGGAACCAAGAAGGCTAGACAAATCTGTGTTTAGCATTTTTTGTTTTATAAAAAAAGTAGCACAGTGATGAAAACCACATCTTTGTACCTCTACCCATAAACGAAAAACCCTGTCAAATGCTAAAATGAGATACCCTGAACATACCTATAATTTGAATAATGATATGATTGGTGTCAGTCATTTTAATACAACAGTATTTTTTCGTCAATTTTTGGATGTCTGTCTAAACAGGGTACTAAAGTAAATACATTTTACAGGATGATCCCAAGCCAAGGATTCAAGAAAATGAAACTCAGAAACAATCCTCAGAAATTGAGGTTCCTGAAATCCCAAGTGACATACCACAACCTGAATTGATAACCGCAGGAACTGTAGAGGAAGCTTTACAGCAAAGGTTTCTAAATTAGAATTTAAAAATTCCATAGTTTTTATTTATATTGTATATTTTAGATTAGAATTTTACAAATCACATGTGCAAAAGGCCACAGAAGAAGAGAATTCAAGCAAGGCAAGAAGGTTTGGAAGAATTGTAAAGCAGTACGAACAGGTAAATATAACCAATATTTTGTGTTACTAATGTTGAAACTGACTTTGAAATTTCCAGGCTTTAAAATTTCATAGAGCTGGAAAGCCTGTTCCGTTTGATGAATTACCAACTCCACCGGGGTTTGCTCCTATTCCAATACCAGGAACTGGAAAGGTAACGCCTAGTTCACCTCAAGCGCCTAAACAAGATGAAACGGCTGTTAGTGATAGTAAAGAAGGTGGCGTTGCCCCTGCAAAGCCCAATGCGTCTCGTATATCAGGTAGGTTTTGTAGGTAAAATACATTCTTTAATGCCAACATTTGTTTAACACGCTTATAAATTATTCACTTACAGTGCTGGGCGGTGGGTAAATACCTTTAACTGGTTATATAGTCAAAGGTAAATAACCCAACAGGTAGGTAAATAAAATTTGGGTGTACCTAGAATGTATAAGGTATCCATTGGAGGAATATTGCAGATATATTCCTGGTATTATACTGGGTATATATAGGATGCGGTGGTCGGGGAATCCCCTTATAAAATTAGGGTATTTACCTAAATTGCACCGTCGGCGTTGTGCTGTCGTTACTATGATATAACTGATGGTATAACTGATGGTTACCTGACCATTTATTTTTTGTTAAAATTTGTTAAAGTAAATTAACAAAGTAAGTATAAGTACTTGGAACATTTTTCCCACACTTGGAAGTATTTACCCAAATTTCACTGTACCGGGTGTTTACCCATCACTGCATGCTCACTATGTTTATTTCTTTAGTTCAAAAAGTTTTGGGAGTTTTACAAAATGTTATTTAGAAATCGATCATAGGTAATAAAGAAAGACTATGTAATATACCGGGTGCGTCTCAAAAGTGGCTCACCCCTATAACTTTTATTTTTTTTTTCAGATAAAAAAAAACAAATTTGGTATGTTAGTATATGATATAAATTAGGATTGATTGAGGTATTCAGTTGTTTTCAGTCACTTCCTGTTTCACCGGAAATAACTTCAACTTTTGATTTTTAAATGGCACCCCTTCTGGTATATTTTTACTTTGGTTAACATTAGTCTTTACTTTTTATAAGATTCTACTCACAGTCTGTAAACTGATATTGAGCGTAGCTGAAACACTGAAGGATCTATGTTTTAATTAATTTTTAATAATTTCATCATTTTCAATAAAAGCCGCAAAACTTAAGCAACAAAAATAAATTTTAGATCTCTAACGCAATTTAATCCTCTCCATGATCTGTTTCCTGTTCAAAATAATATATATTTTTTTAAATACGACATTGGCTTTCTTAATACGGATTTTAAGAACTCCCAAGGTCTTAAAACCAATGATGTATCGCACTTATTTGAAAAGTTTATACTAAATTAAAAAAATAATGAATTACTCATTAAATAATACAGACTATCATTTCAAAATGACCAGACCCGTATAATAAAGTAAGTATTTCATTGCAGGTAATAGATCTGCAACATCGCATCAAGAAAAGCAAGTGTTAATTCTGCAAGCCAAACAGAAACAATTCAAAACAGCCGCCTTGAATGCAAAGCAGAAAGGAGAGTTGGTACAAGCCAAGGAATTTTTGCGCCAAGCTCACGGTTTTGACAAACTGATCGAAGCGGCACAAGCTGGGTTGCCGGTAGATTGGGCTACAATTCCTGTCTCGCCCGAAGCAAAGTCACAACTAGACGATGAGTAAGTGTGTAGTAAAATATATGTTTGCAATAATAACGTAATGTAATGTACAGGGAATGATTGAATAAATGTGAAAAAAATCAGTTACATCAATGACTAAAGAATGCAAGAATCAATAATACCAGAAATGTAAAATTGCAATTTTTATACGGTTTTTAATTTTACTTTTTACATGTCTGCCATTTATAATAAATTGTATTATTCATTTTTTTAGCTCCCAAAATTCGTTTGTAAACAGGGCCAGGTGTCGACTAAACTGGAGAGTACAAAATTTAGTTTAGTACTTACTGTAACAACTTATTTTTTTTACACGGGTTTAAGAATAATCTTTATTTATTTATATTTTTGATAAATGTTTCGCCTACGCTTATGATGGATGCTGCTTTTTAGGTATATGCCAATTATTTAAGAAAAAGTATTAGAACATTCACAAAGGGTAAAAAACTAGTATGGACTATATGCTCAATATGTAGCACATATAGCATAATATGAGCAAAATAATTATCATATTCAGTAAAAAAGCTAAAAAGGTGGAGTTCAGAAAATTAATTATTTGTTTATTTACCTAGAAACTTAATTCCTAGACCTTTTTTTATATTTTATATTTGAAAGCCAATGTAATACCATTGTAATACCAACAAGTTTATACAAAGTTCACTACACACAAACATCAAACTATTGAAAATTGCTAATATTTTTCCCAATGTACTTAAACAGCCGTTAAACGGTAGCCTACTAAAATGCCGTTAATAGATATTGTGACGTCGTTTATGTCGGCGGAAAGTAATGCCTAGCTATAAGCATTTTGCAAGAGCACCTGTGGCTCCGTGGCTGAGGCTATCGCTTCGTGAGCGAATGGTCCATGGTTCAAATCTCATGCCGACCAAGACTTTTTTATATTTTTTTTTGCTTATAGCGTGATTTATTGCATTGGCTTCACTCTTTTTGGTTAGATTGGTTTAGTTATTTGGCGGGATGGTTAGCGTGGTTATTTAGAGGGTGTTAATTTATTGGTTAGTTGGTTATTTGGTGGGGTTGGTTGGTTTTTACTAATTTATATTTGTTTTTTATATATTTTTTTATCAGTGTCGAGGTTAGTTATGTTGGTTAAGTTGGTTATTTGGTGGGGTGGATGGCGTTGGTTTGTCCTTATAAAATTCCTATATTTCATAAAGCCGTCAAGTGCGTCACATCAACGACGTCATACCTATTAACGGCATTTTAGTAAGCTACCGTTTAACGGCAGTTTAAGTATAGCCTTTTTTTCCTGGTGTTACTCATTAGATTGGAAATTGCCCGTAAGGACAATGTAAACAACTATTTGGCGCTATTCTTGCAACGGTCGCGATCTAAAGCTTTTGAAAATTTCGGAGCGGTTCGGCTTTTTCCGGAATTATATCAAATTCAAATTTATTATTATTTTCTTTTAATTTTATAAATAAAATACAGTGTGTTATATACAAGAAACTTTATTTTATATAAGGACATGTATGAAATACCTATGAAACATTGGAAACCGACGTTATGCCACGATCCACGATGGTTTTTGCAGTTCACAGTTCACAGCACAGCTTTTAATGCCACCTTTTCACAATTATCACGGGTTTGAGTAAATAGAACTTAAATTAAACTCACAAGATACCAATAATTACTTTGAAAATGGACGCTTTAAACACTTTTCGGAATTTTTTCATTGATAGCGTTTCGGAATTTTTTCATTCATTCGGAATTTTTTCATTGAGATATGGACAAGAGAAAATTATTTCTGTTTTTGTTTGCGGTTGTTCTTAGCAACCGCTATAGCAGCGCCAGATCGCGTACAACGGTCGCGACCCAAAACAATTTCGCGACAAAATTGACCAAAATTTTGACGGGCATTCCAATCTAAATGTATTTCCTTTATCTACGGTGTTACCTCCTTTGTTTAGTGCTAAAAAAGGCGTCCTATAATTTTACATCATAAACTTCCCCAGCCCGTATATGCTCGTTACCCTCCCTTGTATTCTTTAGTCATTGGTTGAGATGATTTTTGAATTACAATCTTTTGAATTAGGATGGCAGAGAAAGTGCACTATGTATCACTGCAATATATTATTTTGCTGGACAAATTATATTACTTCTAGAAATATTGTAAGTGGATTAGTACCCCATTACGTATTTATTTTAGATATGAAATAATCATGGCCGACGAAGCCACGGAAGATGGCCAGAGCGACAATGACGTTTTATCACGACTCGAAACACAATTAACTAAACAATTAAAAATGTGCTTAAGTACAAGGGATCATCATAAGGCTTTAGGTGATGTTGCGGGAACAAACAGGTAAACATTTTCATCTTTAATATACTTATATTTTGATGAAATTGTTATAAAGGGAGTTAATTCTTTAGGTTTGAAAGATTGGCTTTAAACGTTACTAAAGATTTAGACGTGATTAGAGTATCCAGACGTACAAATAATAGAGTTCCAAAGTTCCATTATGAGACTAAGGATTTTGCGATAGTAAAAAGTTTTACTGATTTGACAGACAATGACCTGGAGCTTTTTATAGTTAGAGGAATTAATTACAAATCGGAAAATCCCAAAGACATTGACACCTATGTGAAATTCGAATTTCCATTTCCACAGGTATTTTTTTATTATTAATTTTGTATTATTGTAATAAAATAATGCTTGATTACTTTAGGACACGCCATATTCAGACAAAACGTCTACAATAAAAGATACAAATAACCCTACTTATGACCAGACTTTTGTAATACCAATTCAAAGGAGTTCTAGACAGTGTCAGAGGGTATTCAAAAGGCATGGCATTAAATTTGAAGTTTATTCCAGGGGGTGAGTAAAAGGAAATAATTATGGCTTATAATTCATAAGATAATGTGGTGTATGACCTTGTCAATGCAGTTTATTTTTTGGGAATATTGTCAATAAAACTATATTTTTGAGGTCACATGCCAGAGCATTTCAGATGACCATCTATTCATGCATTGTATATTACATATTTTTCAATTTATACAGGATATGTCAAAAAGTTTGCAAGAAATGGGAATATTTTTGTTATTGAGTTATTGAAAAAAAGTTTATATACACAATTTTTAATTTTTTGAATCCAAGAAAATAGTTCATAATACAATATTTCTTCTTTAGAGTCTGTAAATAATTTAAAAAATTCAAAAATCTTTATTTTTATGATATTACACTTTTGGCATAGGTTTAGAGGATTTTTGTAAGTAGCCGCCGTGACATACCGGGTCGGCATATCTGGCCTTGGACGCTGATCTATATGCTCAATTAAATAAGATATACTGAATAAAGAAAGAAGATCAAGTATTTTCCCAAGCGCATGAAATGTAGCGTCGGATTAAGTGGTTATGTAATAAATACTTCGCATTTTTCTCTCTCTGACTTACTATATCGCCAGTGACCATGGCCAAGTCGCCCCCTAAAATCTAGAAATTGGGTTAAATATTAGGCTTTTGAGTTAAAAATCACATGTATCCGCCACTGTATATCGCCATAGCGATTCACTCTTAAAAGTGTAAACGCTGACCCAAGGTTTCGCTTCACAGTAGGTTATGTCAAAAATATAATTCTTGTTTTGGGCGTGCTGAAGTAATTAAATAAACATAAACTGCTTTTCAATAACTCAATATTTTTTATATTGAATATAAAATCATGCGAAATTCATACATATTTTGATTTCATTGCAATTTATTTTATTTTTCCCTACATTTTTTTAACCTATCTCTATTCTGTCCCGCCGTTGGTTATACCGACTGTTGTTTTGCATGTGTGTAAGGAAAATAATTGGTGAAGGTTAGAGAAGCTGTGTTATTATGGTACTAGAGTTACTAGTGAAGATAAAGTGCAAGGATTACAGTAAGATAAAATCTATATGTCATAGTTATCCGTAATTGAAAAAAATATTTGTAGCATGTTGTGTAGTTAATGAATATAGAAATATGTTTTGTTTATGAATATGATGAAGAGAATTAATGTAGTATTAGAGTGAATAAATATCAACAACTGCTTGTCTGTTCTTTATTAGAGAGATGTGACAACAATATGCGTTATTAGGGGAGACGATATTTTGACAACTTTGACAGTTATGACACTTCGATAAAGTGTCATAATAAGCGTTTATGCGTTAATTAATAACGTTAGTGCATACCACTATTTACACAGAGAATATTTTGACATTTTGAAAACGTTATATTTTCAATTGCGATACTATATACTACTTTAAAAACGTTGTGTCTAGGTGCACGTTAACGGAAACCGGAAAGCTTTCCTCACTAAATAATGCGTAGCTATAGCCTGGTTACGAAAGCAGCCTGTGGCTCCGTGGGTGAAGCGGACGCTCGTTAATAAACGCGACGCCTGGTTAATAAAGGGCTAAATAAAGGGCACAACAACGGCCCCCATGTTTACAGGGATCGATTTAGTGGATGAGTGCTCCACCAGGAAAACAACAAGCCACTGTACACTTACCTGTATATACTATACTGTATATACCGTATGATCAAAAAAAAAACGGCCCCCCGAAAAAAGTAGAACTTTTTTTAAATTTTGTTACAGCTGTTTTAATTTTTTTATTTTTTTTGCAGCTGTTGGTAATATCAATCAAAATACGCCGTTTTTTGTTTAGATCGCGTGCACCTAGACACAGCGTTTTAAAATGTATAAATAAACCTAAATTATCATAAAATATACTTTTCTCTTAAATATTACAATCATTTATAGTACATAGCATTGAATGTGTTATTTAAGATTCAATAGGCCAATATCGGGAAAAGTATAAATACAGTTGCTCTTCTGATTTACTTATATTATATTTTAAATAATCCCGGAGGGGGGGATCCAGAATTACTACTTTAAGATCTACTTACTATTTTGTGTAGAAGTATAATTTAACTAAATCTATCAAATTACTTAATCAAAAACTAACAAAACAGAAATTGCAAAAATAAAAAGTTAGGCCAAGATTGAGTTTACAGGTTATCGGACAACAAACGTAAATGTCAAAATAACGTCTGCGCTAATAGCGGAATTGTGGCAGTATGGGACATTGTCATATCTTTCTACAGAATGGATATTCGCTCTTATATTGTCTGCTTTTTATGCACAATTTTAATTTATTCATTTCTTTCACTCTCTTCTTCATGAAGAAATAATAATGTATTGTCAAGTATATCATCGTTAACAATATCATGTATGTATATTGCACTTATTTTTTGAATGAACTCTACTGCCATAATGCGGTTGGCTAGTTGCGACTGTGGTTGCGCTAGCGACATCTTTTGTTGTTTCAGCGGATTCTTCCGAAGCGATTCTCTGATTGGTACGGTCAATTTGAAGCTGCAGCCGTTAGAGACCCAGTGCGAGATACACGACAGTTTTGACGTAAGTATTATTTTAAAATTAAATTTATTAAAAAATATGGATATACCAAAACGGAAAACTAGAAGTGCTAAAATCGATATGACTGAGAACTGTCAGTAATGTCATATATTCGTTTAACACTTTGAATAAGAAGACTAAGGAAGGAGCATATCAAAAATCTTAGGTACACCGCGATGGGCCTCAAATATGGCCGACTTAAATTCCGGTTTATCAGTGCCGTTCTAATTTTATTTAAAAAATGTAAAACTATGATGTAGGGTAGATGTGGGGTAGACTCAATAATTTGTTGTTTTATTTTACGTTGTGAATAAATGTTGGTAGTTATTAAAATTGTTATAAAAATATATAATTCTAATAAAAATAGATAAGTTATAATAAGTATTTATTAACACACACATCCGATACGCTACTGAAGCAGGTAAGTCAAATTAACGTATCTAAATTGTTTGACATCTAATCTTTTACAAGTTATAAATAAAAGCTAAAATGCAAGAAAAATATATAATTTAGTTAATTTAAGTGAATTTCATAAATGATCGGTTTACTACACGTATGTATATTATATAGTCACTTACTAGCGAAAAGTGGTTCCATTATTTCACTCAATTTTTGCCGAGATCTACCGCACGCTACAACAACCAACTAAGAGTCTTTTTCGATAAATCGCGATAGTGTCACTGTTAATTTAAGTTCTGCCACAATTTCCATCTAGATTTACTACCTTTATACAACTATCAGTAGTAGAATAAATAATAAATAACATAAAATAAGCTCCGTAAAGACTGACAAATCCATAAAATTTCAAATCAAATTCAAATGTATCAAATGAATCGTCAAACAGAACTGTCAAGGATCCCCACCCTAGAGTGCTTTTTCCGCCCACCATGCATGAATACATGGATAGCATTATGCTCCTTCCTTAATCTTCTTATTCAAAGGTTTAACAGTTCTTAATTATCGAAATAAATAAAACAAAAAGTCGGGTTAGTTACACAATTTATAACTCAAGAACGGCTGGACCTATTTTAATGAGTCCTAAAAATCAAAAGGCGTTTTATGTTTTTATGGTAATATCATTCCGATTTCATGCTTTGATAGATAGTTATTGATAGAATTTTAATTAACGTCTTATTTTTGATGTTTTAAAATGTTAAAGAAGCACAAAATTTATTTAGTTCAATGCTACGGAAAGAGTGATAATTATCGGAAAATGTGATATTTTAATAACATCATAAATATGAGTCAAAATTAATTATAACCATCTATCAAAGAATGAAATCGAAATTATATTACCATAGAAACGCCTTTTGATTTTTAAGACGATTTTTAAGAAAAAATTCAACGATTTTTCAAGTTTTATTAAATTTTCTCTAAAACGGTATGGAGATTTGGAAAAGTGTAAACGGAATTAACCGTTTTAGAACAAGCAAAAAATTTTATGAAGGATGCATTTTCCTCTAAATGTCGATAATAAAAAAGTTTTTCCTTTTGTAAAGACAATCCGGGGACATACTGTAAATTAATACCGTATGATCGAATAAAAACGGCGTCAGCGATGGCTATGAAATGAAGATCGCTGTCATTTTATATGTAAAATTATATAGGAAATGTCATCGATCGTCATTTCCAAGCCAACTGGACGCCGTTTTTTTTTCGATCATACGGTATTATATTTGCTTTTAATTTTTGAATTTGTTTAAATTTGAATTTTTGAACTACAACATGTTTGAAGACAAATATGTCATGGTTAAAGTTTTATTTTAGGTCATGGATGGACGAAGAAAGACAGGTGGTAAACTAGAAGTCAGATTGAGGTTAAGAAGTCCTATAGTTACTCAGCAAGTTGAACAAATTCAAGAAAAATGGCTAATTATAGATCAGTAGAGAAAATATACACTCTGTTAATGTTTGCCTATAAGTATAACCCTCATATTTTTTTATCAATTGATGCATATACCTATTTTTTAAGATTATTTTAATATATACTATTTTGAGATGTATAAAACGAATATAATATTAATATCTTTAATATTTTTTCATAGTCTATTAAGTTCTAGTCTTAATGCAAATAATTTTCAAGTTATGTTGCTCTAATGAATAGTCAACAACAAGTTTAATTAAGTCAGATCTATGGATGGCCATTTGTACTTTTTAAAGTAAAAGTCCAAAATTATTTTTTGATGTTTTCTAAGTTGTGTTGTACTTTTATTCCAATGTTTTGTATTTTAAGTTTAGTAATGTCATAACGCAAAAAATGGCAACAGTCATATTGAGTATTTATTTTATTAGAGTGAATATTATATTTCTTGAGACATATTTTTTATAGGTGCCTTATTGAGTATGATTGTAAATAATTTTAAAAGAACTTATATTTAATTATATTTTGTTATACCATGAGTCATTGTAACATACAATTATTGTGATTTTTAGCTTAATAAATATAGTATTTAATTAAAAACGTGGTAGTCATTTAACTGATGTAATTCTTAAGATTTTTATAAAATTTAAATTAATAATTCTTGATTGTAGTAAATAACAAAATAACTACTGTAAAAACAGCATGAGTTACTTTCTCTGCGATTTTGCATCATGTTTTAATTTGATAGTATTAAAGTAAATATACATTCTTTAGAAAGTATTTTATAGATAATCATACAAAGTGCATTGATTTTTGGTTTAAATAGAAGTTTCTAGAGAAGTACAGGGTGGCTCGAATTCGACGCTCATTATTGGGATTTCGGAAACCGTAAGAGATACAGGATCGGTTAAATGGAGGCAAAGTTGCGCAATTTCATGCTCAATAAAATGCCGTATTGCATTTTTATTTTTTATTTTTTTTGCATAAAATATTCTGGTGATGGAATTTTCTATACGAAACGTCGGCAAATATCAAAGTGACTATATATTATAATATATAGTGTTTTAAGAGTGATCAAAGGATTTAATTAAATTGAAAAAAAAATCAGGTCCGTATTTTAATATTATATAAAATAATTTAATTATTAATAATAATTTAATTAATTTAATATAATTTAAAAAAATTATGTTGATGATGGTCGCCAGAAGCCGAAACGTCAGAGTCAATATTTAATCACACATTATCTTAACAAATAAAGCCAGGAAACAATAGAAAACAAGATTGAAAATTCCGTTTTTTTTCGAATATTTTCTTAAGTATTCGGAATTTTTCAAAATGCAATACGGCATTTTATTGAGCATCAAATTGCGCCACTTTGCCTCCATTTAATCGATCCTGTATCTCTTACGGTTTCCGGAATCCCAATGATGAGCGTTGAATTTGAGTCACCCTGTACAACATTGTTACAAAAAATCTCGAAAGCAAGTGACGAAATTATAAATTATATTATCTAGGGACATGCCAGGGACTTTGGAAGAAATTAAATTCGGTAAATAATGAGTACCTTATAAACCTCCATTTTGATGCCATTTAAAGGCTGGATATTTAAAAATTAGAATACATATTTTAACAAACAGCAGACAAAACAAAACAATTTCGACAATGCCGATGCTTCATATGTTACATAAAAATCACAAAGGTTTACTAAACCAAAGGGGAGATAAGTGGTAGCATCATTGTTATTTTAAATGGAACACCCAGTATTATATGGTCTATTATGCCCTTTTTGAGTCGCATCTTCGTTATGCCCTTCCATTCTGGGGTACTTGCTACACGATAAAATTTGATCTTATGTTCAAACTTGAAAAGAGAGCAGTTCGATATTTATTGGGACTGAACAGTAGAACTCACTGCCAGAATTTCTTTAAAAATTTCAAAATACTGACACTTCCTTCCTCATTCATTTTTGAATCCGTTTGCTTAATCCGCAAGCACATATCTGCTATTCCGGAAAGGCCATCTCACAACTATCCACTTAGGAATGCGGAGCATCTTTATCTGCCAACCCCGAGCTCAGAACTAGTTAAAGGCTCAATACTGTACAATGCCAAAAAAATGTACAATCATTGGCCTTTGAATATCAAGTCACATTCATTCTTTCCCGCATTTCGCAAAGTTCTGAAATCATACTTACTGGAGGTAAATGTATATGTAAAATGTATATGCGGTAAACGACTTTTTTGTTGATGTTTAATCATAAACAATTTTGAATTTTAAAATTTTGATCATGTCACACACTGGTTAAAGGTCTAGTATTTAATATTTAATATTTTATAACTCTTACATGATTTTATCCATTTACAATTTTCCTTTTGTAAAATTTTATTGATACGCCTGTGTTCTGCAATGTCCATGTATGTTTTATTTGTAATTTTAATGACGTAAATTTTTTTGAATTGATTTGTATTGCATGACATTTTTTATTATTTGTATATTCCTTTTTGTGCTTTTGTTTGTTTTGTAAATGCTTTGTCGATGAAGCTATTTTGGCTTTTTGTACAATAAAGCGTTGTTTATTATTATTATATTAAAATATGTCTATACCTATGTGGCGGATTCATCTCTCCAAAAAAAATCCTTTATGGGTATTTCGCCACTGCACTGCATGAAAATCTACAAAATAAAATAGATATTTTTTGTAAACATTTCTGCGTTAAACCTAAACGGACACTGCTTGTCAGAAGTTATGTTTACAGTTATACAAATTTGCCTAACAAAGAAAAAAATGCTTAACGTTTCGGAAAGTTTATCTCTTTCCGTCGTCGCGCGGAAGCAATAAAATATAAAGAATAAGAAAAAAAACTATTTAAAATATTTAAATTCAACTATTCGAGAACACTACTTTTTTTAAAACAGATACGTCTACAATAATTCAATTCAAAATTTATGAATTATTACTAGTCAGCCTTCTTTAATATTATTTTGAATGATATATATTACCCGAGAAAAAATTTGAGAATAAACCACAAAAAAAATGAGCTCCCATCAAAAATATAGAATGTAAAAATATGCCAAGTTGGCAACACAATTTTTCCATTATAAAAAGTTGTTAGATCTCGTGTCAAACCAAGTCAGTTTATTGAAGTGAAACTTCTTCGAGCTCTATCTTTTCCTGATATTTTGACGATGTTTCGTGCACTACGAAACTCCAGCATCAATAAATCAAATAAAAAAATCGTACGATTTAAATGAGAGTTGGTATGACGATAGATTGGACCAAGGTCAACTTGACCGTGTACGACACGTGTAACTGTGACAGTTAGTTTTGACGTAAGAAACGTCAAAAGTTCATGTCGTCCGATCGCGACCAAATTTTGTGGGTAGGCTATGTGAGCGACGGTGCATACGGTCCCATTCTGCAAAGTTGGATACTATGTTTCGTTTACATCTTCATCAAGGTGGGACTAAGGATTTGATATAGAATTTATTTAATACAAAGTATAAAAGCACTTTTCAGTATTTTTCATCTATTATAAGGACATTAACCTTGTATAATATAGCGGAATTTTTCTGACTAATCAAGAAAATCAATATTTAATCATATTATTGTTGCATCTATTTACTTATATATATTTAATTATTACCCCTAGTATAATTGGACAATAGCAGTTTTTTTTATTGCGCCTTAGAACTGTAGCAAGGTTTTATTAAAGAAACCTTTTTATGAAGGTTTTAATATCCTGTTTGGGATACAGTGCTTTAGTGCTGATTACTTTTTTATACAACGTTTACGTGTACTTATGTATATGTAATATAGTTATGATATTATTCCTAATAAATTGGAATTAACTTATAACAGGTGTTATTTCTTTTAATAATAAATTACTTTGAATTTACAATTATTATAGAAAATTGCGAGATGCAATTTTTAGTTTCTTGGGCAATGCTTTACCACTCGTTACCGCTAAACTGTCAATAAAATAAGCAGGTTAATAAATTGGCGACCACACCTTACTAACTAACTTAATGCCGCTCTATACAGGGTGTTTTTAAAAAGTGGCTATAACTTTTTTATTTTTTTTGTAGATAAAAAAAACGAGATTGGTTTAGTTAGCATAACACATAAATCAGGATTGATGGACATTTTCAATCACTTTCCTGTTGAATCGGAAACGTTTACAACTTTTGATTTTTAAATCGCACCCTCGGTATTTTTTACTTTATTTGATCGAAAATGATATTCTGAATCTGAATAGATGGACATATTACATGTCAACTTTTGACATTTTCTCTTAAAAGATATATTTAAATTTCAATCTAGAGTGTCATACACGACAATTAATATAACGACAATTGGACTCGAAATACCAAGTATGTGGTATCAAAATATTCGTAAGAAAATGCATTTTCTAAATATGCTAATGAGCCATTCTTGTTCCATTTGAAAACATTTAAGCTTCATGCAGAGCCTCGCAATTAGTGGAATAAATTAGTGGTTTCAATTGAAGAGTGGAAATACCAAAGGGGGTAATTGCCAAATTTTTCAATATTAAGTTATTGCATTAGAAACGTAATAAATACCATGCTGTATGTCCTAACAAAAGTTACAAGTGCCAAGTAAAAGCGTCTACTCTTTATGTATATTATATTTATTTTAAAAGATATTTTAAAAATTTATTATTTTCAGTTCTACTGTGTTTTTGTCATTTATGTCGAAAAAATAATTTTGGCACTTATCCCCTTTGGTATTTCCACTCTTCAATTACACTTTATACTTTTTAGTTTACGATCATTCACAATGTTTAAAAAAACAAAATTAAAATTAATAGAATATCCTCGCAACAGCTTGCGTTAGTCAGTTGTATCCTTGTTTATATATCTAAGGGTTGTATCCATAGAGAAAGCCCTTTGAATAAGAAGACTAAGGTAACACCGCGATGGGCCTCAAATATGGCAGACTTAAATTCCGGTTTATCAATGCCGTTCTAATTTTATTTAAAAAATGTAAAACTATGATGTAGGGTAGACGTGGGGTAGACTCAATAATTTTTATTTTATTTTACGTTGTGAGTAAATGTTGGTAGTTATCAAAATTGTTATAAAAGTATATAATACTAATAAAAATAGATATGTTATAATAAGTAATTTATTAACACAAACATCCGATACGCTACTGAAGCAGGTAAGTCAAATTGACGTATCTAAATTCTTTGACATCTAATCTTTGACAAGTAGTAAATAAAAGCAAAAATGCAAGAAAAAATATATAATTAGTTAATTTAAGTGAATTTCATAAATGATCGGTTTACTACACGTACGTATATTATGTAGTCACTTACTAGCGAAAAGTTATTCCATTATTTCACTCGATTTTTGTCGAGATCTACCGCACGCTACACAACCACCTATTTTAGAGTCTTTTTCGATAAATCGCGATAGTGTCACTGTTAATTTAAGTTCTATTTAATAAATAATAAATAACACAAAATAAGTTCCGTAAAGACTGAGAAATCTACAAAATTTCAAATCAAATTCAAATGTGTCAAATGAATCGTCAAACAGAACTGTCAAGGATCCCCACCCTAGAGTCCTTTTTCCGC